CCACCCTTTTTCAGTCCATAACTTCTCTTACCATCCTTGTGAATGACTAAGTGCATGTAGTTTAGCACCAAAGCCTATGTGAGAGGAGCCTGCTGTACAAGTTGCCCATAAACCCTCCAACAGCTCTGCCCTACAAGCTTCCTCTCCCTTCCTCAAAATGCTCACATTATCGTGACACTCTCACACAGAACCTCTCGGTGATATGCAAGCTGAAGGAAGGTCTTTGATGCCTCCAGGACTTGTGGTTCTTCCAAAGGCACAGCGTGATGAGACCACCATCTCCTCCAGCTGTCTCCCTCCCTCTCTGCTGCTTCACACCAGCTGCAGTCAGACAACAGGGGAGAAGGCTGTTCCAGCTGACGCTCCACTGCACCAGCAAAGCCCCCCACCACCCCCCGTACTTTCCCTTCATTAAACCTTGCAGACAGCTTCTCTAATGTGGAGGGATGAATACTGCTTGGTGTCAACCACAGCAATTTTGGTTCAGACAGAGATGTCTCCACTGAAAAAGCAGCATCAGATGTCTGACTATTACTGAGTACCTATTGTTAATCAGGTATGAGCCACACAAAGGGAAAAATCACTAACTGCTGACTCCTCACCTTTAAAAGGATCTGACCCCAACTTTATATGATGACTCTACAAATCAAAAATCTGAATCAACCTTTTTTCTAATAGTTTGCAAAAAAGAAATGCTCCTTAACAGCTAGTGGTCTTTTTGCTGTATTTATATGAACTACATTCACTTGTAAAAGCATTTTTACGAATTTATCCTTCACATTTAGACAACCAGAAACTTGAACACATACATACATATATATATATATATATATATATTTTTTTTTTTTTGTAGAATTTTGGGCTACGTACCAAAGGATATTAGTGGATCCCTTGAAAGGGAAATTAAAGATTTAAATTTCATGGAGCACAGTTCAGTCATTTCAAAGTGGAAAGATGGAGAAATAAAGATGCTGCTGAACTTTTTGACCTTTGTGGAAAATGTTTGGTGGAAAGGCAATCACTGCTTTTGCTTTGAACACCGACCATCGCCATGGTAGGAAATAGTACTGCTAGCATCTTCCTCTGGGGCCGCAGGTCAATGGAACTACATACAGGTTTGGGAGGACATCCGACCAAAGACTGCAAAAGATTATAGAGATCTAAAATCCAGCAGAACAATTAATGGTCTAGTCAAATCGATTAACCTGTTGATTATTTATTGATTAATAATCAGATAGCCAAAGGATCCTTAAAGAAGACCTTTAGACCAGGTGAAACTAAAACTTTCCACTTGAGGAGTTCTGGATGAAGCATATTGACAGACGAAAAAGTTTTTTTTTTTTTTTCTTAGATGCAAAATATTTACATAATTATGCTGAAATGGGGGGTCGCTCTGTCAGCTAAAGACTTGTTTTACAGCTCTATACTCCAGTTAACGATAACTGATTACCAAATTAATTCAATAATCCATTAATCCGATTAATTGTTTCAGGCCTACTTATCACATAAAGTTAAATTAAATAAAGAACTATAAAAGGTGTGTGTGCACACCTGCCATCAGGAACATTTCACAATGGAGGATTCACATTTTGTTTTTCCTTTCCTTTCTGCTGAGCAGACACCACTGACACACACCTGTTGAGTGAGACGGCGGGCTGCACACACGTGTTGCTGGGGTACGTGCAGCTGCTGCTCCGGGAAGGAACAAGGGCCTCCACTGTATCCTCTGAGACATGACTTTACTTGAATCTGTTGCCAGCGGTGCTTGTGTTCACTCCAAGTTTCACAATGGTGACGTGATAAGGCAGCAGGGGAAGTAAATCACTGCTGCAGCTCAGTGGGGGATTGTTTTATCACTGCAGTGTAGATAAGTTGGGATTTCTGGATTTTAAGTCAAAATCACAAGGAGAGGCTAAATGCTACATGTGATGAACTGGTGAGCTGTTAAGATTTGGATGGATTAGTTAATTAACTGAGGCACTATCCTGTCTTGGCATTAAGATTTCGTCCTGGCATTAAAATCTGCTGCATTAGCTCGGCCAGAAAGTGTTTCTTTAGTCTTATCAGCACATTTAGATCATGCACAAGCAAAAAATAAATAAATAAATAAAAGACAAACAAAACACACACACACAACCCTGAATTATTATACTATTCAATTCAGTTCAGTTTATTTCTATAGCGCCAATTCACAACACATGTCATCTCAAGGCACTTTACCAGTCAAATTGATTAAAAGTTTTCTTTCTAAGGAAAACTAGTTGATTGCATCGATTAATTGACTCGGATCAATCACTCACACTAAGCATGCTTGTAGCGACAGTGGAGAGGAAAAACTCCCTTATAACAGGAAGAAGCCTCCAGCTGGGGGGTTTGTTCTATTGTTCTATTATTCAGCGTGTCATATTTTTTCATTTTCTGACAGCCTTCCCTTTTAGCCAATGACCTGAGTGAATGTTAACTAATTACTCAGGTCGTTCTTATTGGTCTGAGGTGAATTTCTTGTGCAGTTTTGTCGATTTAGGCGGGTTCACAGACCAAGATAAGATGTTTGCCCCATCTTCCCCTTCTGACAATTCTAAGGACACACCTATGACTGCAATGTCGTTTAAGATAAACTCAGGTAAGATATTCCTAGTGTGTGTTAAGAGTGATATGGGGGAGTCCAACATGTTGGGTTGTCCTGGTCTGACCTCTGCAGTCAATGGGGTGGAGAGGGGTCTGGCTCCTGACAGTGCAGGTCTGTAACTAGACTCTAGATGGTGTGTGATGTTCCCAGAGAGCAGATGGGGACACAGGATGATTAATGTGACATCTAGCCAATCAGAAAGCTTTTAACCAAGTCAACAAAAACACAGCTCACCAGTGTGGTGAATAGTGTTCTGTCTCCATTCCTTTAATTAATTCCTTTTCTTATTGTAATGTTTTTTTTCCTCTTTTAAAATCAGTCCACAAAGTATCACTATTGCTCCTTTCTAATTGGCCACTGTTATTTACACTGAACTCATGCCTAAACTCAAGAGGTGTTGTGAGATTTCACACACCTGAAATTTCCTGAATAATATCTGAATTAAATCTGTTGATGTGTTGCTCTTGCTGTACAGCTTCATACTGTCACACACTATATCAACAATCTTTCATCATGTGAAGGTTCTTAGGATTTGAAAATGTTCAGACAATTTTAAAATCTTGCATTGTGAACCAGCCATTGTAAAAATGAATACCGACATATATGAGAGTAAATTTTAACACATAAGTAAAAATTGCATGAGACCCAATACATGATAAAATATAATTTAAAAGCATGTAAATTTAATGTGAAGTTTCCATTAAATAATCTAACATTAATCTGTTATGTATATGTCACACATTTAAACAGTTAAGAACTAATAAATAAATTTCACTTCCAAATTAGTTTCAGCCATTATGCATAGAAATAATTCTTCATCTTTTTACAACACAGAATATTTGGCACTCCCTTACATTTTAAGGTTTAGTAACATTTTGTTGGAAGTTTTTTGTTTTACAGTGATAAAAACCCCACTAGGATTAATATGATAACTTGTACAGCAGCACAAAGCTGTAAGGATGATCTGACAGGAGGCAGACGCTGGGAAAATGAGGGCAGAGGAACCAACCAATAAACAAACCTGGGTGGACGGGACTGCAAAGACCAGTCGGGGAGGAATGCCGTGGCTCCGTAATCCTCTAATCTTCAAACAAATGTTAACTATTTGAAAGCTCACTGATGTTCCACTGATACTGAATGAATTACCATCAGGTTCCAACAATCAGCCCCTGGTAACATGTCTGTTGGACTGTAATAGTTGAAAATCAGCACAAAAAAAATAACAGGTAAATACAAAGGTACATTTTGCAAATACACCTTGTATTCATAAAATACAAAAATTAAAAGTTTTATACTGCATGTTTTACCAGAAAATGATGCTTCAATTTACCTTTAGAGCTGAAGGCCAGGTGTTAGCTGCAGTCTGCTCCAAGATGAATGAAATAAAATTCTAAATCAAACATCAATCTCAGATACAAAGTTAGAGTTTTTTGACTGCTGATGAAAATACAAGCCATGAACATTAATTTGCTCTAATTTATATGTTCAAAAAAGGAAAATGTTTACTCATAGATTTTATGGCATAGTGTCCCAGTTTGATAGAGAAACACACCATCACTCTGGATCCCTGAGAAAAACCCTGAACCCTCCAATGCTTTCTGGGGGCTCCTTGGTGTATGCAGCCCACCCTGCCCTAAGATCTTTAAATGCAAAGGACAGCAAGTTCCCTGCAATTAAAGGATATATGTGTATATGAAAAAAATTGAAAATATAAGACATTGCTCTGAAAATGTGATGTTCATCCTGGATTGAAATCTGCAGTCAGTTGCAAACAGAACACATATCAAACTGACAGAACAGTGATTTAACCCAAAATTTGGGCCTTATTGCTGGCAGATGAATTTATTTGCTAAATGTTGAACCATTTTCCCAAATATGAACAGGACCTACATTCAGGTTATTTTAGAACAGCAAAGCTTCGTAAAGCTGGAGAAAAAGGAGTAGTATTTCACTCCAATCCCTGAAAGGCACTGCTCCATGCAGAGCAGGAAAGTCCGGTTTGTGAGCGACACTGTTGTACAGATCTCTTGGCTCAACAAACATTTGCCACTTTTAAATAAATACTCTAATCTGAAAGAAATGTTCTTTTTGTATGTTTGAGTTAGTGTCAGATGGTTTAAAATGAAGCAGCATTGGAGTATCTGATCCAAATTCAAGGCCTTATTGACTGCAGACAAATCCACTCCACCACCATTGATCAGCCTGCTGGATAAGTGGAAGGGAAAGCACAGAGAGCCCATCCATCAGCCAGGAGGTACCGTCAAGATTAAACACTCAGGCATGGTCAGAAGAATTCCTGATAGGCATGGCTTTCCTTTCAAGTTTCCTTTCAAATATTGACAAAGTAATCAGACTGGAGTCAAAGCAGGGCTTGCTCTTTTGCATGATTCTCTTTATTTACATGAGCAGAAGGTTTCAATTCAACTCTGGGCTGAAGTAAACAGTTACTCTGAATGTGAAGAGATTTCCTGCATGAACTTGAAAACGCGCTGGTCTTGGCAGCAATGCATGTTGAGTGTGCACTTTTCGGCCTCTGTTAAAAGGCAACACTTGTGCTGCTTTCACAATTTCACTCAAGTGCAAACGGAGGAGTTTCTGATTAAACACAGATTTCGAGAAGCTTGCTGCTGTCTGGGACACAACATGCATAGCTGCACAGATGAGATGTGAGGCAGCAGTGAGGTGCCCTGATCGCTGCAGGGGGGAGCGCCCTGACAAGTTCTGTGCAGAGTGACACAAGATACCCTGAGGAGGAGATAACATTGCTGGTTTGCAGGCTTTCCTTTCGCACAACATAAAAGACAACAGAGAACATTGGAGTTGTAGCATTTTGGAGAAGATAAGGTTTACTCCTTCACTTTTCCCTCTAAAAAAGTCTGAATCTTTTGTATGTTTTCTTCCTGCTGTTCCAGACACTCGAGTAGGATGCCCATCGGAGTTCTCTTCAGCCCTGAACATTCCAGCTTGGTCTGGAGCTTGTTCTTCATGTTCCGTAGGCGAAACGAAGCGTGTGCCATTATCACTGCAGTGCAGATGGGCAAGCAAATGTCAAGGTTGATACATTTGGCAAAAACAAACTCGTAAATAAACTCAAAGCATGCTCTGATTAAATGAGAATGAAGAATATTTCATCATCCCTCACATGCACTGATCATTTTACATTTAAGTGATGTAACAACTCAAGTAAATGTGGTGTAAAACATAATGCAGGAAACACTGTGCATGAACGTCCTTGTTACGTTACGACCACAAAATCTGCTTACAAATCAGAGGTAGAGTGACTGCTGTCATAAACGTCATGACGCTCCCCAGGAGAGAAGTCAGCATGTAGCTGGCCGCCATGACGACCATCACAAACACTGTGGGGCTCTGCCTTTTGAAGTTCTTGATGATGGCTTGGTTCTCTCCAGCCCAAACCAAACCCAGGAAGACGACCGACACCACGACCAAGGCTGTGACCATCCCCACATGGTTGAGAAACCTGCAGGACCAGAAAGCAGTTTAGAGAGCGGAGGGGTTAGCTCCTGTTTTAGACTCATAGGACAAGTTATGATGCAGCCACTGGCTCCACCTAGTGTTCAGATCTTAGACCTACAAAAATATCATGTTCTCCCACCAAGCAGTGCAAAAGAAATAAAAAAAATATGAATACTTTGGCTACAACTACATTTTTTTTTTATTGCAAATCGATTAATCTGTTGATTATTTTTTCGATTAATTGATTTATAATTGGATAGCCAAACGTTCCTTAAAGAAGAAAAGAAAAATATTTTTGTTTTTATCTCAAATGCAAAATGTTTATGTATTTTTTACAATTTTAGTACAATTACTGCTCTAAGTGAGTTGCTTTATCAGCTAAAGGCATGTTTTACAGTCTCTATACTCCAGTTAACGATTAATCGATTACTAAATTAGTTGACGAGTACTTCAATAATCGATTAATCGCGATTAATCTGATTACCGTAATTCTTTGAGCCCTAATGAATACATTTTTTTTCTACAAACTTAACTCTGAAAAGTGACCAGCTGCATTAGAAATATATAATATAGAGTGGCTGTGAACTCTACAGCTCTTTTCTAAACAAAGACCATCACGAAGACCAAGAAGCACAGCAGATAGGTCTGGGATGATGCTGTTGGGATGTTTAAAGATGCCATAGATTATAAAACAATATCATGTGAATACCAACAGGCGGCTGCACTGACAAAAAGAGAACATTAATAAGAAAAGCAGCTGAAAGCCCCATCAGGACTCTGCAGGAGCTGTAGAGATCCACAGCTTGTTTGATGGTGTGTTTACTAAACAAACAAAAAAATACTTTAGGTTTTTAATTATGATTCATTTAATTTAATATCGGGAAAAAATTACCTCAGTTGTCATTCAGAGACATTTGAGGTAACATTTTCTGATTTTGATAGTTGGCTGATTGAAATATTGGTACCAATGTTTATTTTCATATTTATTGTGCACTATGCACCTTTCAATATTTTACTAAAGAACTGTGACCTGCTTTATACGCTGTATGTAGCGACGAATGGATCAGATGATTTTAGGTTATTTTATACAAACTTACTATAACATGCTCTTAAGGCACCTTTACTGAAAGTTGAATTACTTTGTCTCGCTGGAAGAATATAATAGATATAACACCAGAATATTTATTCAAACCATTACTCAGAAGTGTGTCAAAGTTCAGATTTGCTGCTACAGTGATGATGAGTCAAGATGAAGTCACTGAGTGATTTTTCCAAAGCTGTATTTATACACTAAACAGAGATGAAGAGGCAGGTGATTTATCAGTGTGGCCTTTTCAATGGTTTTATCAAAACATCACAAGAAAACAGCTTTAAGAGCAGACCTTTAATTACTGGGCTTCACTTCTGGAAGCGGCACAGAGACTGTGGAATAACTTGCCTTGACATATTCGATCAGCAGCCTCCTTAAATCCTCTCTAAGCACACTTCTTCTCCATGGCTTTTAATCAAGTCTAAGTGGACATTTGGCAAAACTTTGTTTTAAATGTTATTTTAAAATGCATTTTAATTGAAATATTTATCCTATTATATTTTATCTCCATTCAATGTTTCTTCTTGCATTGTGTTTATGTATTTTAGCTTTCAGTTTGTTTGTTTTTCTTATGCTCTGCAACTGTGATTCCTGTACAGCATTTTGGTCAACCCTGGTTGTTTCAAATGTGCTTTATAAATAAAGTTTTAGTTTAGTTGAGTTCTGTTAGAAAAGCAGGCTTTAAAACTGGAATCAAGTGAAATCTAACACAGGATCCACATTCTGTGAGCTGCAAACTCTCATTGTTTGCTTTCATCAGATGATGAACTCTGTTCATAGATTACAGGTTTAGCAGTGAGACTTACTTGTCTGGTTTAGCCTGTTTTCTGGAGCAGACCAAATACTCTGTGCTCTGTTGAAACTTGGCCACTTCTCAAATCGATCAAATCATCAATGAAACATGTAACCTATGCAGATCGTTCCTTTAATTCATGGACCAACACTTTTAATGTTACAGCAGAGTTTAATTCATGGACCAACCCCTTTTAATGTTACAGCAGAGTTGATTCCTGTCAGCATCCGCTGATCTCTCTCTAAAGTTAAAACCTTCCTGATGTCAACAAGCCGACCTCCCTGCTTGAACACATAGAAATATCCAGCAATATAAACACATTCTTACCCCACGATGAGGAAAACAGCAATAGAAAGAACCAGGTAATTCGTCTGGTAATAAAGCAAGTTGCTGACAACTCGGTTGTTCCATCTCGTCATATTTGTAACATCCGGTGCGCCGAACCGTTCCGAACCGGGAAAGAAATCATCCCACGATCTAAGCGGTGCCAGCTCTACTTTAGCCATTAGAGTCCAGTAAGTTACCACTTTGACAGCGAAAGGAGATTAACTGTACAGAATAAGTAAACAAATAGGACTGGTAGGTAAATCTCGCGAGAACAAGTTATTCTTCTTCGTTAGATTGGCGGATTGCAAACAACTTAAGGTGCATACCGCCACCTACTGTACACGAGTGTGTAGCTCTATAGTTCCACTTACTATATACAATTTTTATTTTTGTGTTATGTAAAAATAAAAACAAAGCTCTATTAATAGCCAAATTCTCCTCCCTATCCCCATCTGTCCCTAAAATTCCCTTAATAGTCCATTCTCTCTCTTTTTCTATAATTACTTTCCTCATCCTCTCTCATTCAGTTGCACATTTAATGCAACAGAAAAACTAATTCAAGTGGGTATGTCCAGTTCTTAATCAAGTATAAATTATCTCTTCCCTTCTGCTTCTTTCTCCGTAATCGTTTAGCAATTACAGATTTTTGAACCCTATATAATATTCTCCCTTTCTCATGTTCATCCCATATATTTTTGGCATAATTCTGTTTCTTTCTTTTTAATTATTGATTTACCTTCCCCTTTCCCAAATGGAATATGATCTATATTCTGCTCTCCTAAAGCTTTTTTAGCTATCTTATCTGCTATTTCATTTCCTCTCACCCCTTCGTGTGCTGGAAACAAACAGAACTGAAAGTCTATTCCATACCAAATAACCTTAACATACGGCCATTTAAAATGTCCTACCATTTCAAGGCATATAAAACTTAAATCTTACTAGTATACTTTTGTGTTTTTACTTTCTCAAATTCAGTTTCTTTTGCAAAAATATACTTGGAATATCTGTTATCACATTTATGTATATAAATGTGATTTTGCCCAACAAAAATCCTTCTTTAGTGATTTACAAATGGAACAGAGTGCTTTTAATAAATGTCACAATGGCCTGCCGTAGTATTGCACATAAACATACGCTTTAAATCCAGCAATCTTCTTTTTTGCAGCTCTAGCACTATTTCTGTCTTTTAAACCCCTACATTTATTATTTTTATTTCTGCCTTAAAATCTCTAGTTCCAGTGGTCTGAAATGGGCACTTACTGTTGCCTGTTGTCATGGTGACTGGTCAATAATGGCTTTTTATATTTTCTATGCATGTTGATTAAACCAACTCACAGCAGCTTTTATGAAACCAACCAACCTTACGAGGCTATATCAATTCAAAGTTGAGGATTTGAGTCAGACTTTGTTAAACCTGCTTTTTGAAATGGACCCCAGACCTAAACCCTATTGAGAATCTGACACTTTATTAAATCTGAGGGAAATAAAGCTTTTTTGTGGAGAAAATTTGACAAAACATTTAATCTCTAGATGCGTGAGGCTCATAAAATCATAAGAGACTTGAGGGTTAGCTTACTTTACAGTTATTCTCTGCTTTGTGTCAACCTATTCACAAATACTTTATAACACCACAGCAAAAGGTAATTTATTTCACAGATAATTCATTAATGGAAGACTGAGATGTTTCAACATATGATTGGAATCCTGCTAATTTGCTTAGAAAGCTTTAAAAACAGTTTATTCACATTTCTAAGAGATCAAATACCTGAATCAAAATATCACCATAAGGTGAATTATTTTAGTATTTCTAATTCCATTACCTTTGGTGGAGTCTGTAAAATGTTAACAATATGGGATTTAATACAAGTAATACAGAATGTCGGGCCCTAACCTTATTAATATATCTCAAATAAATTTTTTTAGTGGTAAGCCCTCTATTAAAACATCTTTTTTTTTAAATGATATTAGACATGAAATACACCAAAGTCTAATATTTCCATGTATTTACCGGTATTTAGATACAGCTTTAGTCCACAATGTGGCCGTTAAAAGTTCAAGTTCAAGCTTGGTGACTGTTGGTGCATGTTTTCTCCCTCTCTCTCTCTGATACCATGTCCTGGCTGCCTACTTTAAAAAAAACAAAAAAAAAAAACAAACAAAAAAAAAACATCAAGGACACTAGAGCTTAAAAATAATAATGATAAAAAGGTTTAAAAGACAAAGAAACATTTAATTCCATAAGATGGGAAAATAATTCATCTGTTTTCACAAAGTGCCTTTTCAATCATCCTTTCTCCTTTAGCTTTTCCTATTTTTTTTTGTTGCGAGTCATGAGTAGAATGCCCATAGCTGATCCGCCCAGTCCTGTAGCTTCTTTCATGTATGCCACTTCGCTGATGCCACGGTTGCGAAAGGAGACATGTGGAGTAATCACTGCAATGCAGAGAGAAAAGGACATAAAAACAACAATGAATCAATGAATGATTTGATAATTATTTTAAACCTTCCATTGAAAATAAATAAAAATATTGCATAGATTATTACATGTTTAATTAACATCTGCTTCGCTTTTTTGTGAGCTAAAAGAGTACTAAATCAACTTACCAGTCAGTATAAAACTGGTTGGGGGTGCAAGTTTTCTGATTCTGGCAAATGAATAAATCACCACATAATTGACAACAATGACTGTGATCAAAAAAGCTAATGGCCTCCATCTCTTTAGGCTAAGCAAGGGTTGTATCTCTCCAGCCCAAACTAAAACCAGATAAACGGCGAACAGCACGGCCAGGCCAGTAATAAACCCCATAGGATCCTTTAACCTGCAGGAGGAAAGCAGGACAACAGAAGGTGCATGAGTGCAGTTTGAAAATACTGATGTTGCATGATAGTGCATGTAAGCACTGACTCCACCATGTGGTTAGATGCTTCATCTACAGCAACATGACTTCTACATAATACCTGGATAAAAATAATGATATCCCCTTAGACACATCCATAATCAGAAAATGCAATGTGCTTTCACAAATAATTGGCCAACACATGCAGAACAACAATAAAAATGTGCTTAAGCTCAGGCAGAATTATCAATTGGGATAAACTATTCCATTGTAGCCCTGTCTGTGTGGTTGGACTCATAATGCAGGCTAAAGTTTTTTGTTTTTTTAAATCTTCTTACAGGTTTTCTTCCAGGATGACACTGTTTTCTGCTCCATCCATCAACTTTTCTATTAGTTCTAACCAGTTTCCCTGACCCAGATGCAGGTATTACAATGTATTGTCATGGAAATGGTGTTTACAAAGTGATGTTTGTTTTCTTCCATCTGATTTATTAAATACAGCCATAAGACAAAAATAGTGAATCACAATAAGAATACAGTAATTTTAAAATGACATCTCCAATACAGATTTCTAGATTAATCTCATTCCAATGTCTGAGAAAAATGTGATTTAATTTCTGGTGATAAAAAAAAAAAAAAAGAAAAAAAAAAAAAGAAAATTATATATATATATATATATATATATATATATATATATATATATATATATATATATATTTTTTTTTTTTTTTTTTTTTTTTTCATTCAACTTCCTGCATTAAAAAAACAAAAACAACAGAAACAAAAAAATTCCTGCATCTACAAGTCCCTGCCTTCCTGCTTTAGACCAAGTAGAATAATATTCTGAACAACTTTAAAATAGGCTTGGAATCTTCCTGTAAGACTGGATTAATTATGTCTAACATTACTGTATACAAACAGATTTAGCATGGAGACAACATTTGTGGTTAATTGGCAACAATTTAAATCCCTGTTTCTTTTAATGTACAGTCAAGCACTTTGAAGTTATTAAAATAAAATCAAAAGCATGAGCCTACTACGACCATGGATAGATAGATAAGATAGAACCGAACAAATAAAGTTTAAAAAGAATTTAGACTGACCTCAAAACTTGTTAAAGTTATGTAAAAGATTAAGTAAAAAACTTCTAAATTTATAGTGGCATAATACATTTAAGTTTTAAATTGTAAAATTATATAATGAGCCAAACATTCCAGGGTTTTACATACTTTCTACTTTGGTGTTATTAAATATCGATCAGTTCTTCAAGTTAAAGTTTTTTTTTCAGAGAACTCACTGCTTACCCCTTTGTTTAAATATTTTAGATTTTACATAAGTAACACCCTGGTAAAAAAAAAATGTGCTTTATTGTATTTCAAGTATATTCATATTTCCTATAGTTTACTGAAAATGTACTTAGACAAATTGTACTTTTTGTAAATATATAAAAAGTATACTAACATTACGCTTTCATGCTAATACTTTTAACACACTTTAACATAATTACACTATGTTACACTTTATAGAAATATATTATTAAAAAAGTATACTTTAAGTGAAAGTTATGTGTAATTTCTAAAGTGTACTTATTTTAAATTTGTTTTTACATATATTTTTGCTATATTTTAAATTGTATGCTCAAAGTTGTCATTGTAACGTACATTGAAAGCATATTTTAAAAGTACACATTTTAATATCGACACTGTAATATTAAGTTTGAGTGCATTTTAAGTTACATTTGAATCTAATTATGAAGTGAAGTTATATACGCTTGTACTTCAGGTAATTCTTTTGGAAAGTGTTCAATAGTATAACTACAAAAATGCACTTAAACCCTATTATGCAATTTTGTGCTGTGTGTAAAGTACACAGATAGCAATTATTGCAGTTGTTATGTAATGTTTAATAAGTTTTGAAAAAGAAATATGATACAATACATCTTACACACAAAACCACATTGAACAAAACACTAAATGTTCACTTCAAAAGTACAGGTGCACAAAAATGTGTGTTCTGCTGAAAAGCAAGTGGTTTAAAGCTGGTGCAGTGCTACATTATGATCTAACAAATAGCATAACCCACATTGCAACAGAAAAGTTAATACTGGCCAAATGCAAAAGAAATAAACTTAACACATTACAATTGTCTCAAGTGTTCAAAAAAGAACATTTCATTAGTATTGTTTAATGGATCAAAGCAGGGCTACTGCAAACAAGACCAATTGGTGAGTGCACATATTTAAAAGTCGCTGACAGCACTTCATGCATATAGGAGTGATATGTGGAGGTTGTTTGGCCTTGATGTCTGTAAAGTAGTAGCTCCCCAAGAATTTTAGTCTTGGGGAGTTTTTGGTTCAGTACTGATATCAGAATTCCCATAGACTTTGAATGCACCACACCTGCACAGCAGTTAGTCACGGCTCCTCCCTGCTCAGAGCTAGCGTGCTTTTCTTTTAAGGCCTTGGTCTGCATGGAGAGAGGTAACTTTCAAAACATTCCCATTTGGTTTTGAAATCTTAAGATATCTGTATAAAACGCGATTTTGATTATTATATTTGTATTGTAGAAACAGGAGATGTAATCGGTTGAGCAGGAAGATTTGCTGTATTATTGTGTTGAAGAATATCCTGGTGAGTTCACATGAACCTGTGAATGAAATATATATATTTTTTGAGATGTAAAACCAGTCAGGATATAATGTTTTGTAATATATGTAATTTTACTAGCTCTTTTGATTTATTGAATGCATTAGCACAGTGAGAAGGAGGCTAACACACCCCCCATGTGCTCTTCTAAAAAAGAAAATGCACTTTCAAGCTAGCTACATCTTGTGTGATGTTGCTGTAAAACCCCCACAAGGGGTTAACGTAAAATTAACCCTTCATAGGTGTCCTGGATTGTTTTTTCCAGATACAAGTATTGACTACTGACCATAATGATTTCTTAGACAGTGAACCACATGTAAATTGATAATTTTACTTTATATTTTTGTCTGTATAAATGTGGTAAAAACCAATTTATATTATGGTGATTACATGATTTATTTTCCAATTGAAGTAATTGCTCTGCACATTTGTGTGCAGGCTGTTTTTTTTTTTACATAGTTGCAGAATCTGCTGTTACAGCTGAGCGGTTCATTGTATGGACTGGACTAGACTCCACCAGAGATGTTGATGCAGAATGTTCCCAATGTGAATGCCATCCGGTTCCCTGGAGGGTGGTAGGAAAAACAAGGAAACTTAAGGATTTTTCTTCCCTTTCTTTCTGCGGATTCATAATTTTTTTCTTTTCTGAGATCTCTGACAATTTTTGTTGTTACTTTGTTTAATTTTTTTGATCAGATCTGATAAAACCACTTGATGCATCAGATTTATTTAAATTCAACTGAAATGGACAATTTTTTTTTCTGGTGCACTTATGGACCCTGGTATATCATACTGATACAATTTGTCAGACTTTTCTGATGTACTGCTCAAAAATACTATGAATTTACAGTATCTCTCTGTTTGGTTAACAGACGCTGTTCTTCTGGAGTTTCCGTAGACAAGTGTCTCTGATGTGCGCACGGCCATCAGACGAAAATGTAACAATGAGCAGTTCAGCCAAAAAAAGGAAAATAATGTGTGGTGGGCGTGTTTTTGTATGGTGCGAGGGTTTAGGGGTGCAATAATAAGGAATGTTGTTTTTCATTGTTCAGTATTCCTCTGCGTTCTTTAAAGTTTATTTGTAATGTTTAGGTCTGCTGCCTGAAATTGACATATTTCTACAAAGTGTACTAAAGTACCAATATTTGAAAATGTGTTGTAAGTTTTATAATGAAAATGGTTAACGTCGATATGTAAATGTTTATACATTCTGAGATAGTACAAGTTATATTATTTGTAATGTACTATAATTTGGACATGTTTCAAATACATTAAAGTATATTTTTTCATCTGCACGGAAGTATATCCACAAGTCTTTCAGCATTTAGTATACTGTTAATACATTTGCAAGAATGTGCAAGGTAGAAAGTAGTATAGCAATGTAATGATAAAGTATATTTACTATTAACTGCAAAGTATGCTTTTTTAGTAATTGGAATAAGCCAACAGTATAATTAAGCATATTATTACCACAGTAAGAGTATATTAAAAGTATAAAGCTTATATATTTTTAAGACACTAACAAATCATTTTTAATGTAGTTATAATACAACCATAGTGCACTTTAATTTGACTAATTAAGCATATATTAGTACATATAAACTCATATACTTAAAGTATACAAAATATACTTTAAGTTGTTCCACTTTAGCACATCAAAGTACACTAAATACACTTCAAGTTGAGCTTGTCCACAATTTAATTACAATTAAAATATATTTAGTACAAAATTAGTTGTTCCAAAATAGCATCCTTCAAGTTAACTAATCATAAACACACTTAAAGTATAGTAATGATTAGTGTGCCTTCAAGTACACAAAAGTATGCTAAATTTTAGTACACTTAGCACATTTATTTTTCAGCAGGGCAGTCCCTAAAAAAATTATATATATATATTAATTCATACAATTTTTTTTTATTGGTTAAACAATATATATATATATATATATATATATATATATATTGTTTAACCAATAAAAAATATTGTATGAATTAATTTAACCTACAAATATAATTTTTTCTATGTTTTTACACTTTAGTTTTATTCCAATTTGTCTAGATCATTTTAACTTCCTCTCATCTTTAATAAACTATGTGCATAATCACAAATATTTATCAATAGGTTAAAAAAAAAAAAACTACAAAAACTGTTTAGATTTGTGAAGAACATTTGACATACCCGGCTAAGATGAAAACAGCAGTACTTAGAACCAGATAATTAGTCTGATAATAAAGCAGGTTGCTGATCAATCTCTCTTCAAACTCGCGGAAATTATTGGGAAAGGCAAAGCCTTTCAAGCCAGGAAAGAAATCACTCCACTCTTTGAGCGGCGACATCCTAGAAGCTGTTCTGTCTGACAGCCCCAGACAGCAGCGCCTGAAACTTTAACTACGAAATTATCGCGAGAACAGTTTAAATCCCGCCTTATGAGACTTGGAGCTCTCACCCATTGGTCGCCAGCAACACACGTTTGTAAAACCTTCCAGCTCCGCTTCATGAAGACATGAGCGATAAAGATAATATTCGGTGACAGCAGTATCTTTGATTTATTATGTGTCTACTAAAGTTTTCGGTTGTTTCTATGTCTTATTTGTTATTGAATTTTCGATAAAACGTTGTTTACACACACGTGCTGACAGTAGCAGCTGCTTTGAGAACGTTATTAACGAGCTAGCTATTAACCTAGCTGGTTATCCAGCTAGCATGTTAGCCTGCTAGCTCAAACTTTATGGCAAAGGGGCCCAAGTTAAATGGACTTGTCTCGTTCTCTTTGTTTGTAGATGTGGAGCACATTAGTCAAACCTGTTGGGATTAGACTGAGTGTATGGCGAAGTTTGTTTACCATGAGGCTGAAGACCAAGGAGTTCCAGTCTCTCTTCACTGATGGGCTGAATGGAATAGCGGGTGAGTTTACTCTATTAGACAGCACTCATCTACTAGACCTTCTGTTTTTCCTCTTTCTTTTGCTATTTAGCCTTTATTTTTACTGTTGTAAAGTGAGAGAGCCGGAGAGCCACACATTTTTTTGTAGCATAACTGGTTTTGATTCAATCATTTCACATCTACAAAATAAAATGATTTTGCACTACCAAACGCTACGAATATCTAAACTGATTATCCATATATTCTAATATAGTAGAAAGAGAGATAGATGATGTCCTTCACTATTTGACCAATTTTAATTAACAAAACATATATAATATCATTGGTTTGTCCACAGCACTTTGGTCATGTGGGTAATTAATTACAGCGTTCTTTATTTAATTGTGAAAATATTACCGTTAACTGTCAATCCAACCATCTTCTCAGCAAACATTATCCCGTCAGGGTCACGGTGGAGCTGGTGCTCATGTCTGGCAGTCTATGGGTGAGAGATGTTGTAGGGCAACAGAGAGACACACAAAAGCATAAAACCAAACACACATATCTAAGGACAATTTTGGGAAGCCAATTAACCTAACAGTCATGATTTTGTTCTATGGGAGGAAGCCAGATAGAACCCACACATGCACATGCTAACTCCATGCAGAAAGACCCTGGGTCACCATGCAGCCCTCCACAGTTCATTATTAAGGGCAGATTATACTTCTGCAATCGCACACATCAAATGTCGCTTGGGTCTGGTCACGAACCAGTTATGCTGGTATGCTTCTGCACCGCCGGTCTGGACTTTGTAGAGACGCACAGCAGTTTCCCGCCAAAGCGCAAGGGGGAGCCTATTCGAAAACTCGCAAGCACTTCGGCGGCGCCAGCTGGAGTCTTTAACTTCCAAAACAACAATGGCGCGTCTGCAAGATGGAGATGGATCTAGAGTTGCTTGACATTGAAGAGGAACAGATTCTGTTTATGGAGTTGGCAAAAAGGCCAATTAACCTTTCGTTGTAGTTGTCCAATATAGTTGGTCCTCGGTTTTCGGTACCGAATTGAGAAGGACGACCACACAGACAGTCGGAAAGACATACCAAGGACCAATCACAGCTGCTTTTTGTCTGCACACTTTCAATACCAAGGCGTAGTCAGGATTTTTTGAGTTGCGCGACGACTGTTGCAGAACCTTTGCGCACAGAGACAGATTTGACGGTTGCAGAGGATATGCCTCAGAAGCATACATTTGTCTTTAGAACACCATTTTGAAAATTAGATTCACATCAAATAATAAGCAATAGAGGAACCTATGCTTATAACTAACTTGCTGGTTTGTTCATTAATGTGTGCCTAATAATATTCATGATCTAACAATAGCAGATAGTTTCCTGTAAGATTCCTGGTGCAACATCATGGTTTTGATTATGACCAATTCAAACAGAATGTTTTTTGTTAAAATATTTATTCACTATATTTAATCTGTACAACTGAGGTTACAACTTAAATATCAGAAATGCACAATAATTTTCTTTAGCTTTCATATACCCCATTTACACTAGCCTTGAAAAACCATGCCGAGACCGGTCCGAGCTCAGTAACTGAGATAACTTATCGCGTGTAAATGGAAAGCAAACTGAGCTGAACCGAGCTAGACACAACCGGACCTCGCTTACTGCAGACCAGTTCCAGAGGTAGGGGTGGGTATTGCCAAAGAAGTCACGATTCGATTCGAATCACGATTCACAGGCCACGATGCGATTCTATCACGATGCATCACGATACTTGAATTATTGCGATGCATTGCAATATTTTCTCCTCCATGTTTTGTTTTTGAATGACTCGGCACAGTATCCCACGGCCGGAAATGCTTGTGACACAAGGCAGCGTTCGTCAACACATTTGCAGCGACATCTACTGGACTGGAAGTGGTATTGCAATTGTTTTTGGCTGATGTTCGCCAACCATTCATGCAATTTTTCATTTTTTAAACTTAATAATCGATTCTTGGCATCAAGAATCGATGCAGTAGATCACGAATATTAGAATCACGATGCATCATCATGACGATTATTTTGCACACCCCTATCCAGAGGTGGGCTCATTTTTGGTGCATTACCGCCACCAACTGCTTGATTTCCTCCTTGGCAGTACTACCGCAGATCGTCACTAGGAGGCGAGGAGTCGAGGAACCGAGATAGCGTGATGTGTAAACGGTCGTCAGAACCAAGCTCGACCTGGTCAACTGATCCGAGCTGGGACCGGTCTTGGCATGGATCGCTTTTTCAAGCGTAGTGTAAATGGGGTAATAGTCATCACATTTTTATTCTAGCCTCTATTAGGGTCAGTGATCCTCACTATTGTTGCCTTAAGAATCATGTTGGCTTAGCAAAGTCAAGGGAATAACCGCAATATCCCAAATAACTCAGACAAATAATAAAACAACTAAATCAATTGATCAATTCTAAAGACAGAGGAAGCATATACAACATAGTTTACATTAGTACATAGATAAGCAGAAGTGTTTTTTTTCATCCTTAACTCTATATAATTGGTAATTTCTTGTTGCAATCAGAGCAAGATATTCAAGATGAGTGTCGTTTGGTTGCTTTCTATTCATAGTGTTCATAGTAGAAATGTTGACACTCATGTTTGTGCCAATTATGAAATAAATCACTTCTGTATAAGAGGTTTAAGTGTTTTTTCAAAGAGGGAAAGTCTGCTTCATTAGCCAAACTCTAGAAACGATTAAGACCTTCGAGGCTCCATGTGAAGGATATCTTTCATCTGCAGCCTGTTTACTTCACTTTCAGTTGTAGTCTGCTTGTCATGGCAGAGCTGCATGATGAGTTAAGCTATAACATATTCAATAAGAAGGGCTCTAAATAAAATTGGCGATGTCATAATGGCTGTTTGCATCACAGATTCGGTAATTTATTTATTTATTATTCAGAGCTATACCTGACTAAAAAATATTTAGACAAAAAAGAACTTAAGCAGTCACTGATTAAAGAAATTAGGTATTATGAATTTTGTTGCTTTGCCGCACATTTATTTGTCCTCCCTTCAGTTGTTGGTCTCTCTGTCTTTCATTTGTCGCCAGATAGAGTTGAACGGTTATCAACTCAGTGATTGTGTTGACATTTGAAATATTTCCTCATTTTCACCTTCTCATTGGAAAATTTTGCAGGATGCTCACTGGATGCTTAACCAGGGAGTCTACATCAATTGTACATCAAACCACTCGGAAATAATCTCTTCTTCTCCTTCATATCATAGATAAACACTAAACATCTGCTAAAGGAGCCAAGGGCATCGTCAGCAGACTGCCTCTATGTTGCTAGTATCAGGGATTTTAGTGCTTTTATTATAAATATCGTCATACTGTGATCATATGTTTCAATCTCCTTTCCATCTTAAGAAAGATATCCTTCTGTCTGAGCTGGAACCTATTTTTAGGTTGATACCTTTGTTTTTTTCCATCCAGGATTTGTTTGTGCTGTTGTTCTCTGAACCAAATACTTCTCCCCTTAGAATGTAATGAATGTGTTGCTCAGCAGCACTTCCCCGAACTATCAACCTATCCCTGACATTTAGGGCTTCTATTATTTCTACTTCCTGAATATTTTCTCATTGTTAAAGTTCCAAGCAGTACTTTTTGATTTTTGCCACGTGGTGGACAAAGCACTTAGAGTGAAGACTATGATCTGATCATTTGAGATCAAAACCAAATGTTCTTGGCTAATTTAGTGAGACAGAAAACAAATTTAGTTAAGAAGAGTTACTTGAAAATTGTTCACAGAGGCTGTCCGCTAAAGGTTATATGTTAGCGTAGAAAAAATTCTGTCTGGATGTGCAAAACTGTTAAAGAAATAAACCCCACAAGACTCTTACTGCTATGATTCCGCTATCAGTTTGCAGATGCAATGTGGCAAATGTGTTGCCAATAACTAAGTGTAGGAATGTGTAGACATCTAGGGTCTATCTTATACATATATGCAGAGAAGTCATATTAAGCTGCAGCAAGACAGGACAGGTTAGAAATAAATTTAAGCTGATGCAAACTGAAATACAAAGCTTTTCCCTTGATTTTTGAATAATTTAAAACAGAACTGAAAAGGTCCACCCATCACTAGAGGTGAGTATTGGCATGAGTGTTGCGATTCGATACATTTCGCGATACTTGTGTCACGATACGATATTATCACGATATTGCAGTATCACTATATATTGCCATATTTTCCCCAGCTATCAAAATCAAATGATGAGATAAAACAGCAAGTGCTGTATATTTTCATCAGAAAATATTGATTAGGTATTATTATCCATGTTGTTTGGGGTTTTCTTCCACTGTGACTGCCTCAAATACAGATTTGGTGCTGCACGCACAGTTAAAGGGCTCCACAGCGCTTTCTGCCAGAGTGGTGGTGCAGAGCTAGCCCATTTTCCCATTAATGTTTTATGTAACATTTTTTTTTAAATCGATACTAAGAAGTGAAAGATCGATATTATATT